TTTTATTGACGTTGATGTTTTATATTGTAATTGTGTTCTTGGTGGCATTGAATTTTGCCTTGTAAACCGCCTCGAGTCGCCGGAAGGCTGAGAGGGGCGGTATACAAATATAGTAAACAAATAAATAAATAAATTTTCTGGCATAGGGATATGCGTCAAGAATATATTAAGAATGAAAAAGTGACAAGCTCCCATGTTTCAAAATGCCATTACTAGGTTGTGGCCTCATAGTTCATGCAGCAAAGCAAACACAAAGGACTTTTATGGACTAATGGGGCCAATTAGACAGGTATGTTTAGATTTCTATAACAACATGGAAAGTTTTAACGGCATCTAATAACAGATGGCTATATATAATTGTCAGTAAGGTCTTACAACCAGAGTTCTTTTAAAAACGTTTAGGGATTGTCAAATATTGAAATGGTTACTTTTTCAAATTTTGGGGATGGCATTCAAGTATAATTCTGATACTTTGAATGTATTAAGCAACAGACTTGTGGAGTAGAAGGAACAGGCAATGAACACTTTTAAACATCATGAGAAGTCAAGGCTCTGGTGGAAACCTATCTTCTTGAGCATAACCTGTTTCCCCAAAAATAAGACATACCCATAAAATAAGCCATAGCAGGATTTCTAAGCATTTGCGCAATATAAGCCATACCCTGATAGGTGTGGCTATGCAGCGTACAAGGTCAGCTCCCCCTGGCAGGTCCCAGTCTTTCTGTGCATGCTACAAACTGAGGCATAGAGGGTGACATAGTGAAAGTAAACATCTCTTCAGTGAAATGAGGAGCAGGAGATTCTGCTTTTGGTATTGTGTGTCCTCAGGAGGAAGAAATACATCTGTGGCTGCTGTTTTACGCAGCACTGTGGGTCTCTCTTCCCAGCACCAGTCTGTGGATCTCTCTCATCCCCCCCCCCCCCCCCCCCCCCGCAAAACATCAGTAAAGTTGCTGCTCCCCAGCACTGACTTATCAAAATTTGTCAGGGATGAGAGATAGGGTCTTCTCAGTGGTGGCCCCTCGGCTATGGAACGCCCTTCCCAGGGATATAAGATTGGCTCCCTCCCTTCTAACATTCCGCAAAAAGGGTAAGACCTGGCTCTTCGAGCAAGCTTTTACTACTGGAGCATAATTAGACGAATATGAATATATGGGACCAATGACGATGCAACAATGATTTTAGTAAGGAGATGCCAAGGATTTTGTTTTTACAAGCTGTATTGTTTTTATATCACGTTTTAAATGTTTTAATTGCTTTTATAATTGTTTGAACTGCATCTTTATAATTTTTATGGCATCGAATCGCTGCCGACTGTGAAATGCCTTGAGTCGCCTCTGACTGAGAAATGTGGTATACAAATGCGCCAAATCAATCAATCAATCAATCAATCAATCAATCAATCAATCAATGTTCTGTGGGTATTTTTCACCCCGCAAAAACACCAGGGAAAGTGGAAAAGCTTCAGTAAGCAATCTGCTATTGAGCCCAGAGAGATCATCCTATAATTGCAGATTGTTTTGCCATACATAATAAAAACATGACATCCCCTGAAAATAAGTGTGTCATCTTGAGGAAAAATAAATATAAGATAGGGTCTTATTTTAGGGAAAACATGGTAGTAACTTGTTGATACATTCTGAGTAATCACCTCTACCTAAGAGGAGTGGCCGAACAAACCACAGGTTTGGGGTTGACCATCTATTCATTATATGCAAGCTCTCCTTTGGCTTGTTCCTTCCAGACAAGGAAAGGAACTGAATCCTTACAAATATGCGTATCACAATAAATAAACCACCAACGTCAAGCAGGAGTGATAAATTGGTGTGCAATAGCAGGAAGGCGCATCAACGCAAGGACTGTTGTGATGCCAAAATGCAGCCTAGGCTCAAGGGTTCTTTCTACAGTCCATAATATGGCCCTTCATGAAAATGGATTCCCTCCCACTTTGTAGCCAGAGGCAAACTGTGAGCAACTTATTTCTTCCTAGCAATGGTGCTGAGTTAGAAATCACTTGCCATCATAACACAAGTGTTAGTATGGAAGTAAGGCCAAGATCTGTCCTTTTGTCCAAAAACAAAATCACTTAGATGGAACTAAGAGACAACCAGACAACCAGCCATTGCTTTCCAACAACAAGGCAGATCCCCTCTGATTTCCCAGTTTCCAGCCAAAAATGCTGCATGTAGTATCTGTTTGTCTCCCCATTTTGATAATGCACCCATGTCACTCTTATTGCCAAACGAGAATATTTTGAAGATAATGGTAGGTTAGGTAGACTCTGTGAAAAAAAAAGCTCTGCAACCAAATAAGGAGGTTCTGGGTCTGAGAAAGGAGTCGGCCATACAATGCACACAGTATGTTTCAAGGATGCTTTCCATGTGCAGGAAGATTTCTGCTTTATGGTCCTTGGTTTTAATCTCAACCAATTTCCAATTCCTAAAGTGATTCCTTGCACGTCCCTTGTGAGTCTGCCTGAAACTAGAGAAATGTGCAACTCTTCAGCTCCAAATAGGAAAAGAATCTCTCTGTGTCTGTGATTAGTGATGACTTTTAAAAAAGGAAGAGAGAAAGGCGGTTGCGGCAATGGTGGGGGGGACGGGACCCAGATGAAACAGATGGAAGCCATTATCAACTAGCAGCAATAGAATGCACTGATATACCATTCCCAGTTCAAAACAACGCCCATAACAATCTGCAGAAAAGTGTATTGACCTGCTTATAATTCCACCTTACAATCTCCAAGGAGTTAGGCATGATTTTCACTGTTCTTCCTTTACCATTTTCAGAGAGATTCCATTCCTCCTCCTGGGACATGTTTTGATTTTCCAATGATTTTTTTTTGCTTTGAATGCTTCAATCCTATTCCTCCCAGAGAGGACTCTACAAGCAAGACACATATCGCAAAAATCCAACACGAAGAATTTCCCACTGCCATTCACATTGCTAGCCTGACTATCGACAGATAACTTGAGCACATTACATAACATTCATAGTCCTCATCCGGCCCATAGCCAGAAAAAAAAATTGGGAATTGTGTCGGTTTGAAACATTCTTTTTAGCGAATCATGAAGAGTAGCTCCATACCACAAAATAATTTTAATTCTATATTTTAATATAAATTTAATTAAATAAAAGCTCTATTTTAGCTACAAAGTTTCAAGTCTAAAAAAACATTGAAAATAATTCTTAATTGGTAATTTTGTGATTACAAAAGATTACCACAACATCTGTTAGAAACACTTGAAAACTGTGTCAATACACTTTTGACAGAAATTAAGCTCCATCGATAAATTTTGGTGGACACTCAAGTCCAGCCAGTCTCTCTTGCCCCATTGTACTTCTTAAATGTGTTTTCAAAAATTTTAGAGAAGCTGCAGAAATCTGAAGAAGTTTCTTCACATTTGGAAAAAACTGTCTATCACAGAAAAGATATTCAAATGTGCATTTGCTTGTTTTTCTGCAGGTGTAATCCTCTTTCATTTTCTACACCACAGGTCAAACTCTTCCATCAGTGTGTCAGTATCTTGAAGGTACTCATTGTAAAGTTCTGTGCACTTGTTCAAGTTGGGTTTTAAATGACCACAATTAACAGAGAGGAATACTTGAAGTTCCCGAACTACTTCCCTGCGCCTTGTACACCTTTCTTGAAGCTGACTGCAGAAAAAGTCCAGAAATCACATGTACTCATTTAGCCTACAATATTCCATTGGTGTTGATGAAGTTGCCTGTATGTTACTTTTACAAGTCTGCCTGGAATCCTAACTTCTCTACCCACAGACTCCACCACTGATCTTGCTGTGTCAAAGTTCTCCTGAAATTCTTTCACAGATTCTGTGCACATTTCCCAGGCTTTTACTAAGAGACTGTCGACGAGTTTCAGACTACAGAAAACATTACTCTTTGTAATGTTTTGCTAAGCTTTCTTAGGATGTGTGTGGTTACTACAAATTCAGCTTTCAGAACAGCAAAAAGAAGATTGGGAAGAAGTTTCACTGTTGCATAGAGGGCTCTCTTTTAGTTCTTCAAGTGTTCTCACTGCCACGCTGTACAGTTCAACAAAAGGTAAAACTGCGTCATGTTGCTCAACACGACAGGTTTCACAAAGCAGCAACAGATTGCCTAAGATGTGGAAAGAATGTGTATATATTTATATGAATAGAGATTTTCTGTCTGTCTCTAACAGAACTCCATAATGTTCAGTTGCTTTGATAGACATTAGACACTTTGTGGACCCAGGTGAATGAAGAGAAACACTAACAGCAACTAACAAGGCTTTAAGTCTCAAAACAGCCATTCAAGCTAGCAGACAATTGCAGAGTAAGATAGCCTAAACTGTCCAGTTCTCTGATAGTAGATCCAGCCTGAGTCTCCAAGTAGGAATAATGAAAATTCCTGCCTTAAACCTGCCAACCAAAGTTGACAATACTGGGCAAGATAGACTAATGGTCTGACCCAACTGTAGGAAATTTCTTATGTTTCCAATGTCAGCCTTCTCTTGTTATAGCTATGATTTGAGACTAGATTCCTTCCTAACCATAACGGAACATGCTGGGGAATAAAATGTGGGATCTTTTGTAGGCAAAACATTTTCTACCACTAGCTACAGTTCTTCCTTACTGACTCCATTGTAACTCTAGGTGGTTGATCCAAGATGTGGAAAGAATGTGTATATACAGTATATTCTGGCGTATAAGACTACTTTTTAACCCAAGAAAATCTTCTCAAAAGTCAGGGGTCGTCTTATATGCGGGTGTAGTCTTATGCATGGGAGTCATCTTAATTCTATATTTTAACTGGAAAAGTTGGGGGTCGTCTTATATGCCCAGTTGTCTTATATGCCGGAATATACGGTATTTATATGAATAGAGATTCTCTGCCTGTCTCTGGGCACAGAAATCTAGTGTGCACAAAATGCAGGGACCAACTGCTTACTTTCTCTCCAAAGAAGAACCATATTGTTCAGTCATGGAAAAATAACATTCTCCCCACTAACATACCTGTGCAATGTTTTTGTTGAGAAGGTAGACGCCATAATCGAACTGTAGTTTCTCTCCTCCTTTTGGATATAACGGGAACCTAAAAGAAGAAGGGGAAAATATGATTTCACTTGTTTACACAAGTAATTCTGGAAAGCCATTTCTCCTGTCACAAGTTTTTTGTGATATAAGACACAGAAGCCTTGCTTCACCAACAAAGAAGCCAATACATACAAACTTTTTTTTTCATATTTTGAAAGGGGGAAAAGTTTAGCCAGCACAGCCTGCCTCTTGACTGAGAACCACTGCAAATTTAAGGCACGCCCCACCCGCAGCTTTAAGTATTACAACAGTATTATTGTAATGCAAACCTAGATTTTCCTCTTAAACCAGCTCAAATCCTGAAGCCAGAAAACTGGCTAATGTTAAACAAGGCAGTTGTCAGTGCCAAGGGAGTTGGAAGACCATTACAACCAGTTGAGATCCTCAATTGACAGAAGGCTCATTCATTCCTTGCAGACTTCATCAAAAGTGGGAGAGAGGTGTTTTTCACAAACACCTACTTCTCTGCAAACTTATAAAAGGCATCACTGAAAATAATATCTTTCTCCATTTCTGAGACAAAAACTCCACGCTTTAAGCCAAGGGACATCAATTGAGTACAGTCCATCAGAGTGGAAGCCTAAACCCCATTACTTGTGAGGAAGCCTAGTGAGCTCAGTAAGATTTACTTGTAGCAGACATTTGCACCAGAAAGATGGTAAACTAAAGGAATATCAAAGAGCAGATGAACTAGGAAGAGAAGTAGAATCATAGAATCCTAGAGTTGGAAGAGACTTTATGGACCATCCAGTCCAACCCCATTCTGTCAAGCAGGAAAATAACATTCAAAGCACCCCTGACAGATGGCCACCCAGCCTCTGTTTAAAAGCCTCCAAAGAAAGAGCCTCCACCACACTCCGGGCAGAGAGTTCCACTGCTGAACAACTCTCACAGTTAGGAAGTTCTTCCTCATGTTCAGGTGGAATCTCCTTTTCTGTAGCTTGAAGCCATTGTTCTGCATCCTAGTATCCAGAACAGCAGAAAACAAGCTTGTTCTCTCCTCCCTATAACTTCCCCTCACATATTTATACATAGCCCTCATCACATCTCCTCTCAGCCTTCTTTTTTGCAGGCTAAACATGCCCAGCTCTTTTAGCTGCTCATAGGGCTTGTTCTCCAGAACCTTGATCCTTTGATTCACCCTTTTCTGGACACACTCCAGCTTAGAGTCAACATCTCAGAATTGGACACAGTATTCCAGATGTGGTCTGAACAAGACAGAATAGAGGGGTAGCATGACTTCCAGTAGCACAGTGGGTTAAAGTGCTGAGCTGCTGAGCTTGTTGACTGAAAAGTCGCAGGTTTGAATCCAGGGAGTGGCATGAGCTTCCACTGTCAGCCCCAGCTTCTGCCAATCTAGCAGTTCAAATATATGCAAATGTGAGTAGATCAATAGGGACCGCTCTGGCGGGAAGGTATGGGCACTCCATGCAGTCATGCCAGCCACATGACCTAGGAGGTGTCTAGGGACAACGCTGGCTCTTCGGGCTTAGAAATGGAGATGAGCACCACACCCCAGAGTCGGACACAATTGGACTTAATATCAGGGGAAAACCTTTATCTTTACCTATGACTTTCTTTGATCTAGACACTATACTACTAATTATGCAGGCCAAAATCCCATTTGCTTTTTTTTGCTGCCGCATCACATTCATGGCTCATGCATAACTTGTTGTCCACGAGGACTCCAAGATCTTTTTCACACGTACTGCTCTTGAGCCACGCGTCCCCCATTCTGTATCTTTGCATTTCCTTTTTTCTGCCTAAGTGGAGTATCTAGCATTTTTCCCTGTTGAAGTTCATTTTGTTAGTTATGGCCAATCATCTCTCTAATCTTTTTGAATTCTGCTCCTGACCTCTGGAGTATTGACTATCCCTCTAAATTTGGTGATGTCTGCAAACTTGATGACCATGCCTTCAAACCCTTTGTCTAAGTCATTAATAAAGATGTTGAACAGGACCGGGCCCAGGATGGAACCCTGCTTATGGCACTCCACTCATGACAAGTGGAGTAGTCAGCAAAGGGGCAATCAATTTACCATCATATTTGGAAACTTTTCTGGAAAAAGAAATAAATTAAATGTATAGAAATAATTACAATTTTCAAAATCAAACATAACAAAAAGGATTTGAGACAAAGGTGTTACATCCTTAGAATTCGTTTCTTGTTTACTCGTAAGCAATATGTGTTTAGTTCTGGACGAATCTGTAATGGTACGGTTAGGTCTTTGACTACCATAGAGGATAGAGCAGTCTTCCAAATAATATACAGAGTATATTGAAGTTTTATTTCCCAGTGACCATTTAGAATCCTTATTTGAGTCCTAAGTTTTACTATCACACTGTTCCCAAAAGCCTTTTTTTCACCACCACAAATAAATTATATCACTGCCATTTCATTAATAAAGACTTAGATAACTGACAACAGGAGTTTAGGTGACTCAAATGGTACTTAATCTATGCATATTTCCTCAAGACAACCCATAATGCAGTGGCTAAGCGAGTTGCAAGGCATGACATCCTGAGTTTGAATGTCACTTTTGTCCTGAGCAGTCTGAGATAACAGTCTGCCTTCATTCCTTTAGTGCAATGTTCCGTGATGAGGAACTTAAAAGTTTTCTATGGAAAATATTTCTAAAAATGTGTTGTTTCATGATACTAATTACTATCGTTCACTTTTTCTTCTAAGACTCTGAAAGGCAGAACTCTAAACAGATGGCTCCATAGAAATAACTATGTTAACTATTTTATTGTGCTCTCTTATTTCCCTTTCATTCAAACAATGTAAGAAAAGTGTATGGTTCTGAGCTGTCCTGTCCTCCATGCAGTCATGCTGGCCACATGACCTTGGAGGTGTCTACAGACAATGCTGGCTCTTCAGCTTAGACATGGAGATGAGCACCAACCCCCAGAGTTGGACATGACTAGACTTAATGTCAAGGGGAAAACCTTTACCTTTATCTTACATACATTATTCACCTCCAAATCCTCAGGATAGGGAAAGATTAACATTTGAACAGAGATTTAGTTTAGAAATGAGATCGTTACGCAGATGACGGGCATTATGTATTATTAAAACAGTTTCTTTAAAGCACCCAAGACAAAAACAACATTATCTCTATGCAGAACTACTAAAATGAAAGCTTTGGCAAATGTCATTACAGTGCCCCCAAATTGTGAGGGTCTCTGTTTTACAATTCTTCAAACTTTTAATGGGGGGCTTCAAGTTGAGAAATATAAAATCATTCTAATCACTACACATATAAGCTCAGTCCACTTAACAGATCTATAAATCTTTACTGTAGGACAGGAAAATACAACACACTAAAATAAAGGTACTTATGAGCAGCAAAATTCCATTGCTCTCTGTTGCATGAATCACAGAGAATCAATTTCAACATCTACTGAATTACTTTATCCCATTGTAGCAGGATTTGGATTATAAAAGGATAAAATTACAATTAATAACACAAAACGCATTCAGCCTGGGCAATAAATATGCCCTTTAAAACCAAAAAGTATGGTTTGTTACAATATAGTATTTCATTATGTCGTTAGAAAAAGTGTGGGATTTGCTACGTCTAGAAGAAAAAGCTGTAAAAAGAGGGGATGAACTGGGTTCATGGCTTCATAAAGTTTTTGTTTATTTTAAAGGTCTCTTTGTATTATCAAATGTAATAGAAATGGTTAAGGAAGCAGTGTCCCTTTTTAGTTCCACTGATTTTAATGTTGAGTAACAGTCTGCGTCCTCTTAACACAATTCTAAAGAAAAGAAATCAAAAGTGTTCAATGTATTGTCGAAGGCTTTAATGGCCGGAATCACTGGGTTGTTGTAGGTTTTTTCGGGCTATATGGCCATGTTCCAGAGGCATTCTCTCCTGACGTTTCACCTGCATCTATGGCAAGCATCCTCACTACCTCTGAGGATGCTTGCCATAGATGCAGGCGAAACATCAGGAGAGAATGCCTCTAGAACATGGCCATATAACCCGAAAAAACCTACAACAACCCAATCAAAAGTGTTGTTCATAAAATAAAACATAGTTTCCACATGCAGCAATGTTCAACAGCAACATATCATATTTATTTATTTATTTACTCTCCCTTTTTTTGTAAATTTATTTGTTTGTTTGTTTGTTTACTCTATCCCGAAGGGGACTCAAGGCGGCTTTACCAATGGCAAGTATTTGAAGCCTTTAGAAAACAACAATTAAATACATTTAAGTTAAAATTTTAAAAATTAGAGTTAAAACGCACATTAAGAGATATAAACATTATAATCACTATTAAAATCACGCCATCCATAGTCATAATCCAGGGCTGTTCCAAAAATCATTGCACTTATTTTGTAGTTATTATTACAGTGTAGTTAATCTACAAATGCTTGACCCCAGAGCCAGGTTTTCACTTTGCTTCTGAAGGTCAAGAGGAAGCTGCTCTAATATCACTGGGGAGACAGTTCCGCAGCCAAGGACCCACCAATGAGAAGGCCCTGTCCCTCGTTCCCACCTCACGCACCTGTGCAGGTGGCAGGACCAAGAGCAGGCCCTCCCTCGACAATCTTAGTCTTCTAGGTCGTTCATAGAGGGAGATACGTTCGGACAGGTAAGCTGGGCTGGAACCGTTTAGACCTTTATAGACTAAAGCCAGCACTTTGAATTGTGCTTGATAGCAAACTGGCAGCCAGTGGAGTTGACGCAACTGGAGGGGTTGTACGCTCCCTGTGCGCTGCTCTGGTGACCAACCTGACTTCTGTCTGTGATTATTTGAAGCTTCCAAACAGTCCTCGAAGGCAACCCAACATAGAGCGCATTGCAATAGTCTATTCAGGATGTAACCAGAGCGTGGACTACCAAGTAGGGGTGCAACTGGTGCACAAGTTTTAATTGTGTAAACGCTCCCCTGGCCACCACCGAGACCTGGGATTCCAGGCTCAGCGATGGGTCCAGGAGGACTCCCAAGCTGCAAACCTGAATCTTCGGGAGAGTGTAACCCTGT